GATTTTAGTTGGTATCTAGGAGATAGGCCAGTTTTGTTAACACTATATCGATTTTAGTTGGTATCTAGGAGATAGGCCAGTTTTGTTAACACTATATCGATTTTAATTGGTATCTAGAGATAGGCCAGTTTTGTTAACACTATATCGATTTTTCAGGCCTCCCGAAATCATTTTAAAGGATCTACATTCTAATCCATCTACACCCAAAGGATGATTATCTCAAACACTATCAAAGTTCATTACATTAGCCTCTCTCTGTGGCTCAACAGTAAGGTTGAGGCCTTATAATGCTAAAACGACGGTTCGATCCCTGCGCTGGGCACAGCGCATATGGTATGTGGTGAAGCTTTGTGCTCAACGATAAAGAGACAAGTGTTAGGCAGCATATTAATCAATATCATAACAAATAACTGCTGCACGTGTGAGCCAACATCAACAATGATCATCAGGAATGGTAAAGCCTAACACTAAGAACACTGAAATCCTACGTAAACCTCGTATATCACCACGTATTTACAAATGTCTTTACCGATATTTAGAAATGCATACATTGAAAATAACACAGAAAACATTTACAAGTACAGTTTTATCGTGAAAGAATAGAAGCGCATTTATTACAATAAAACATCCGTACATATTTTAAACGTATTCATTTTAATATATCACTGATTATGGAATTTGTAGATTCCGAAACGTTTGAATATGGGTTTGCAACTGTTGCCTTGGTGCTGCACCCCCCCCCCCCCAGAAGCACAGCGGTATGTCTGCGGACTTACAGTGCAAGAAACCGGGTTTCGATACTCGTGGTAGGCAGAGCACAGATAGCCCATTGTGTATCTTTGTGCTTAACTTCAAACAAACAAAGCCTTGGTGTTTCTGATTTTCAATAAAGTACGGTTTCCCACCTGGTGGACCTATTGCAACATGATTCATCTCGTATGTCTATCTTGATTGTTTTAAGGCTATATCTGTGATGTGTGGAAAAATGAATCATTTTCCGTTTTAGTATGAAATGTAACCGAATACAAAAACTTTGAGTATATAGTGCACCCGTACTGGTAGTCAAAGAATTAAAAAACATATTCGTTTCGAAAAACAAAACATTTAATGTGAATTTACTTAGTATATAAAGTCGCTATAAAAGGATAAAAGGTCTAACATTCGCATCCTGGCGGTCAAATAAAATGTTCTGTGCGTGAGATGATGACTTTGTATCATGTACTTCTGTAAAGCTTTTCTGAAGATGTGTTTGCGTTGTTAAAGAAATCGGGAAAATAATGGTTGTATGGTAGACGTGTAAAATACATAAAACACATACTGACATTCGGAAAAAGATTGAAGCAGTTTAACTGAAAAGGGCAAAATTCTATTTGAGAATCATTGTCATAAATATGTATGTATGTATATGTGTGTTTATAAGTAATGTAGCTTCGTGAAAATAAAGTTTTATTAAAACAAGAACAAGCTAAAATATTAGAACAATGTGCATAATTACTAATTATTATTTTTTATAATAATGTGGGCTAAACAGTAAGAAGAAACTCGATTAATATTTCTTTTCCAAAGGAACATACCTACAAACCACTAAATGATACCTTATGCCACAACGTAACTAGTGGAACAAACAAAAACAACATCTGGTGGCAGATAACGGAATAAAAGTTACATCTGTGACAGATAATGAAACAAAATCGCCATCTTGTGACAACTAAAGGTATAAAATTACCACGACATGACAGCTAATGAAACGCAAACACTAGAATGTAACAGCTAAAGAAAAAAACAACAACAACAAAAAAACGCCATTATGTTACAAATAGTGGAACAAAAACGCCATCAAGTGAAATATTATGGAACAAAATCGCCATCTTGTCAGATCTAATGATACGAGAACGCCACCATGTGACAATTAAGAGAAAAGGAACTATAATGGGACGCCAAAAGGTATAAAAATGATTTTGTTCATTTGAAGTTAAGTACAAAGCTACATAATGGCTATGCTCTGTCCACCACGGGTATCGAAACCCAATTTCTAGCGTTGTAAGTCCGCAGGGATACCGCTGTGCAACTGGGAGGCAATATAAAAATGAAACGAAGTGGTAAAGTAAAAAGCGAAAAAAAAAACAAACAACAAAGGTAATATAGTAAAGGTATTGTTCTTTCACGGCTTTACATGTTAGACGCCTTACGATGGTCAGTTATACATAAACAAAGAGAGTAACTCTTCCAACAAAATACATCTCAGCTGTAAACAATCATCAATATACAGGTTGAAATATTAATGTATGCAATATGCGACAACACGGATAATAAAGGAAAGGGTGGTAAAAAATGCAGTTCTGAAAGATAGGAAACTTTCCCAAGTTAGAAAATGCTTCTTTTTGTTTTCTTCACAACTTTGATATTGAAATATAACGAGCGTATCCAGCGAGAATGTTGAATATAATAAGAAAATTCCTTCCCCTATACGGTTTAGTGTGCCATTAAGGCGGCGGGTGCTCCTGAATTGCTGCTCTCTCTCTTTCACTGGTCAGTAGTTCAACATTAGAAACAGCTATATTTGAGACATAGGGGGTCTCTGACCTGGCCGTTTAGCCCACGAATCGCATAAGGCACTATTTACGTGGAAAATTCAAAATATCAAAAATTAAGCTAAATAATATTTACCTTATCAACAAATCTAGTATAAAAACGATATAAAGGTCTATGACACAATTCCCACCAAACAAACATACACGTCTCGAGATAGCATCCGCTCATATTAGAATGCAGGATTTGTGTAATTTATACTTGGATAAAATTTGAACATAATTGATGTGCTGTTTTGAAAGTAGGTAGTAGCGACAAATTCAGTATTGTAACGAAGGTTAGGAAGTTCAACACACTCAATTCTAATTAAACAGCTGTCAGTGGATATCGAGTACGGTATACGGGAAGTGCGAGTCTACTTAAACTAACACGTGCGACAGTCTGTTGATAAATGTGTGAGAGACTTGCGTTAGTTTCACTTATGACATAATAACCCCCCTTTCCTCCCCTCCGCTTTGCTTCTTGCATCACGAGTCACACCTCGACCTTCTGTCCGACCCATCTTACAGTAACCTTAAATTTATGTCGACACAAACGTGAAGAACAGTCTTCCTGACAGCATCGTGAGATAACAGGATGTGGGTTTATAGTAATGGAAACACGTTTAATTTGTACGCTAAAGTCTAAAGATATTATGTAAAATCCAATGCGCAAGTGTTCAAGTTTACTAACGTTTAATTTGTACGCTAAAGTCTAAAGATATTATGTAAAATCCAATGCGCAAGTGTTCAAGTTTACTAACGTTTAATTTGTACGCTAAAGTCTAAAGATATTATGTAAAATCCAATGCGCAAGTGTTCAAGTTTACTAACGTTTAATTTGTACGCTAAAGTCTGAAGATATTATGTAAAATCCAATGCGCAAGTGTTCAAGTTTACTAACGTTTAATCATACTATTTCAGATGATATAGAAGTAATGGTTTCACATTTTAACAGTTAAAATGGACGTTGAATATCTTACTACTCATAGACGTCGGAACGGGGGGTGTCACGTGTCCCCAATAATTAATTGTGGGCCTCGAATATCATTGCCCCCCCCCCCGATATTTTGCTGACAACAATTTTCTATTTAGTGTTTTTCAATTCAGTCGGTTGACTTTGTTAGCTGAAACGAAAGGAAAGTACAGTTTTTTGTCAAATTCTAACCATTACGCTATTAGTAACTTTTTATGTTTGTGTATAATGTCTATATTAGTTATTATCTGAAACATTATTATTGTTTGTATGACTTACGACTTTGTAGCACACAGCAAACAATTTAATTTGTATTTTATATGTACAATACTTGTTATTGTGTGAAATATTTGAATGATACTTTAGTGCGTTGTTATTGGTTGTCTAACAATTTTTATTCACTTAGACTACCCCCCCCCCCTTCTGCTTGTTTTATACGTTCCGAAGAGCCTGCTATTAAAACTACTAAGGGAACCTCTTTGATTAAGTACATCCCACATCCTATTTAAGTTTATTGGCCACATTTTAAGCTTTAAAATGTTGAATATATAGCTTGACAAAACCCGATAACGATATAAAATGCTGGGAACGTACCTTGATGAAACCCGATAACGATACAAAATGTTGGGAACGTACCTTGACGAAACCCGATAACGATATAAAATGTTGGGAACGTACCTTGACGAAACTCGATACCGATATAAAATGTTGGGAACGTACCTTGACGAAACCCGATAACGATATAAAATGCAATGTCCAGCTGGTAGTGAACGTCGTGAATTTTCTTATACAACATGACCTAATTTGTTTCATTTTACAATTGACACAACCATAAAGAAACAAATTTCAGCTCTAGTTGTTAAGGCGTTGAATACCCATTAGCAACTTATGAACTTGGCATAGAAAAACAAAAAAATCCACATTCATTAAGCTTCAGCAACTTACAAAGCTCCACTGTATGGAGTGTTACCAACCTGAATTCACTGGTACTACAGTGGTATCAGCTTTACTACCTAATGCAATCCGGCATATTTTGTATACAAGTTATTTTCTCTCCTTACAAATTCTGAATTTTTTTAGCTTCGAGATTAAACCACCGGATTGTTACGATCAATTATTCTCTAGAACAACTTTGTTTTTCTAAGTTCTACTACGAATTAATTTGTTTTTATTTGTCTCTCTCTCCCTTTTTGAGAGGAATAGAGTTTAAACACTCCTTACTGTTTGTAATTCAAATTACATTATTATTATGTATCATATAACGTCTATTAGTGGCGCCGTGTCCATTACGCAGTATAAGTATTTACGTATAGTTCAGTATAGCAAAAAAAAAAATTAAAATTAATGAAAAAGAAGCGGAAAAAAACTTTCTTGTTTGATAAAGTTCGAGATGATTTAAGCCCTTTGATAATGAGGTATGTAGTTCAACAAGGATAAAACTTAACTATTTGCTGTACCGTCTCTAATCCTGTTGTCTAAAGAAGACTGGTTCATGGTGACTGCACCATTACCGACTAATTTCTTTCTCTTTTTCGTTGCTCACGTGGCTTTAGGATGGAAACCAAGGGCTGAATTTAGCTGGAAAAACGAATAACTTCAAATTATGTTTTGGATTGAAAGAGTATTAGGATGTGTGTGTCTAAAAAACTACACCAAGCCATCAAGTGTAAATATAAAACTACACCAAGCCATCAAGTGTAAATATAAAACTACACCAAGCCATCAAGTGTAAATATAAAACTACACCAAGCCACCAGGTGTAAATATAAAACTACACCAAGTCATCAAGTGTAAATATATTCTTCCAAAATAATCGCATGTTTTCCCCGTGTCTGACAGGTAGGCAACAACGTCATGGCAGTGCGAGTTGAATACCGTAACCCAATAGTCAATACATGGTTTCTTCTTCTCTATTCCCTTTTGTCACCTTTTTTTCCCCCTTCTCTTTTACTTTCCAATTTTTGCCCTTTTCGATTGCCCCAAAATTCTTCTAGATTTTTTTCAAAACCCCCATACATTCAAAAGAATATTTACCTTCGCAAGCCATTTTCCAAACCTAAAGTTAGATAGAGCTCCATTGGACAACAATATCCATCAGTGACCTAGGTGGGACTAATGAAAGCTGATGAAACCGAAATTCCCAGCTGGTCATGTTATAGTTTGTTGTCATTTCATGACATAGCATATAGCTTTCTCGTGGCTCAGGCGAGTTTCATTAAACCGATACTGATTCCTTCGAATCTTTTGATTAAGATACCAAATGGATATGCATGATATATGCGTAAAACGAGATATGAGAAGGTAGGATTTGTTGGGCGTTGACTTATAAGAAACAACATAGGGGAAATCGCTATGATTAAGTTTCAGACATTAGTCAAAAGCACTAGTACCCATCCCATATAAAAACCCGCCAGTCTGGATCGGAAAATTTAATCAATTATGCATACAGAAAGTTGGGTCCAAGATGCACACCTCATCTAAACAATAATATTTGAAAAAATAAAACACAGAAAGGATAACTGCTTCATTTAACCTTGGTTTCAGATGTAAACAGGACCGAAAAATAAAGGAAATCGATACAGGTTATTCTAAGGGTGGAGTTCGTTAAATTCAAACGAATGAAAGAAAGCGAAAGATCATATCTATCCCCGAAAAAATCTTGAACAATTTGATGGTAGGCTTATCACCTGTTGAAGTCCCTCTTTAATTCCCTCCACTCCCTTGTAACTAAGTACAGCGCCTGCGGTAGATGTTGTCAACCAGGGCTGGAGGACAGATTTATTTGATGGATGGGGGTGATTTGTGGCAGGAGCCTCCTGCCAACTAATGGGGGAATAAATTCACGTGTCTGCTTCAGAACATGTCTTTCTGCCACTGTTTTGTTTTGTCAAAGTGTCACACGACTCATCTTGTGATTCGTGTCTTTTCCTTATCTTTCTACACGCTCGTGTATTATCTCAAGTTCCTTTTTTTTTAACTATACACCTTTATATATTTAACAGCTTCAATTTCAAGTGACATGGTGCACCTTTAGATAATAATTCAAGACACGTTTGCGTCGTGAATATTTGTAAGTGCAATTACAGATTTAGAAGAAAAAAAAAGAACGGCCTGTTTTTGTATTTCGTAACAAATTTTAATTTAAACCAATGTTCCAATTCTAGGTAGTTACCCACTTCAGAAGCAGCATTTAAACCAATATTCCTATTTTAGGTAGTTACCCACTTCAGAAGCCACACTTAAACCAATGTTCCTATTTTAGGTAGTTACCCACTTCAGAAGAAGCATCTAAACCAATATTCCTATTTTAGGTAGTTACCCACTTCAGAAACAACATTTAAACCAATGTTCATATTTTAGGTAGTTACCCACTTCAGAAGCCACATTTAAACCAATGTTCATATTCTAGGTAGTTACCCACTTCAGAAGCCACATTTAAACCAATGTTCATATTCTAGGTAGTTACCCACTTCAGAAGCCACATTTAAACCAATGTTCCTATTTTAGGTAGTTACCCACTTCAGAAGCAGCATCTAAACCAATGTTCCTATTTTAGGTAGTTACCCACTTCAGAAGCCACATTTAAACCAATGTTCCTATTTTAGGTAGTTACCCACTTCAGAAGCCACATTTAAACCAAATTCCCATTTTAGGTAGTTACTCACTACAGAAACAACATTTCTAATAATTCTTACCTTTCACATAAACACCACTCAGCGTATTCCATATAAAAATGAGTATTTGTTTTTTCGTTTCAAGACGTTATAATCCTCAAAGGAAATGTATACAGAATTCTATTCAAAAAAACAGTTCTAGTCCAAATTTTACAACAACAACAACAAAAAAAAAACTATCCTTAATGGAAAGATGTGCCTGTAAGGCTTTTTTACTAACATGGATTAGTATCGGTTTTAAGATTCTGAATATTTCACTGACATCTATATGGTTTTCCATATTTTCCACATTATATGATGTACAATGATGACTGACACTGACCAGATTTATTTTAACTTCGTTTTTAAAATCAAGGACTGAAACATTTCTCCGGATTGTTTCAGATTTTCGAGCAAAGTCACACAAAGAGCTTGCTGGCTTTACTTGTCTAACCGAACAGTGGGATTCGAACGTCATTCTTATAGAGCATCCGTGGATCCAAAGCGCGGAGTGAATTTTTTCAAAAACAGGACGCGAACCGTGAAACCTCGGATTCACAGCCCGTACATGCAAACCACTTTGCCACGCCCAACCTATTCCAAATAAAAAACATCATTGTGTCATTACTAGTGTTAATGAACAGCGCCCTTTATATCTCTAAGAAACAGATGTTTCATTTTAAGAAAAATGATTTGTTGAGGACAAAAAATTGAAGAGTTATTAAAAGAAAATTGGACATTTTACTACATCCGAGGACTTTTTGTTTACAACAAATGCAGGAAAATGTTATTGAACGTTCTGAATAAGACGTTTCGTTGTCCTTCAGAAGAATACATTGATATTAATAATAAACTGAATGTTACTTTTTTTTTCTTTCGATTTTTAGCCGCGGCATAGCGGCTCACAGAATGGCTGAGTTTTTTTTCGAGTACAAACTTTTAGCTCATAGCTCCGTCATCTCTTGACTGATTTAACTGATTGAACTGATCTAATTACAGTTTTGGACTCAGGAGGTCAAACCCTTTCGATTGATGTATTTGACCACGCGCAAGGTATCATAGATTAATTTACTCTAATCCTCCCAGAAAGAATTTCAATTTGATGGTAGGCTGGTAGAGATCCTGATGAGTAATAAAATTGAATCGGGTATACGCGCGCCTCAGGCTTGGTATTGCTGGCGCACAAAAATATAGCTAATAAAAAACGGGGAAAAAGGTCTCACAGATTAATTTACCCTAATCCTTCCTAAAATAATTTCAAGTGCAGCGGCTATTGAGAATTCCCTTTTGTTTAAGATAAATCACGTTCAAACAGAGAGAAAGAAAAGGATACGTGTCTTAGATTTTCAGAATTAGGGGAAAAGGGGAGGAGAAGTCATGCCGTTTTGGCTAATCAATAACATAATATTCACCAACTACATAAATGTTTTTATTGTATATTTCACATTGAATTAAACGTACAATATAATTATTTTCAGAAATACGTTTGAATATTTTGTTTTTACCAAGTAAAATATTTATTATACGCACCAGAAGAAAAACATATTAGAAGTGCCTTATGAATTTTAGCGTCTTTTACACACATGCGACACAGCCTTTGAAGACACCGCGGAGAATGGATAGAGTAGTAACAGACAGTAGCAGTCCGCTAGACATTCTTGTTCTATGTACAAAAGCAAGCAAGAGACAAACCACAAATCGAACTCAAAAATATTCTTCGTAAATCTACTTTACTACAGTTAAATACATACACTGTCATTTAACAATAAAGGAATTTGACTACAGCGTTGTGACACAACAGCGATTAATGTGTTCAACGCTTCACACCACGGTGATCTAAGTATACAACACACTAATCAAACAACATTGTGACACAACAGCAATCAAATACAGTAAAGTTTGATACAGTAGTGATCTAATGTCACTGTTGTTAAACAACAGTGCAATCTAACTAGTGCCGTTACACAAAAGAAGTGTAGTAACGTTTCACATCTTAATTATCTAATTGCACTGTTGTTAAACGCACAGTAATTAACCACGATGCCGTGACCACAACAGGATCAAATGTAGCAACGTTTCACACGACATTGATCCATTTGAGCTGTTGTTAAACTGCGCACTCATCAAATAACAGTGTCATGACACAACAGCAATCCAGTGTAGTAACGTTTCACACCACAGTGATCTAATTTCGCTATAGTTAAACGACACAGTAAACTAACTTCGGTGTGGTGACACAAGAGTTACCAATTGTAATAACGATACACATCACAGCGATCTAGTAATCAAACTAATTACAGTATCGTAACATAAAAATAAAGTTAATTTGCGTTTTGTTGAGCAACACACTAACTACAGCAGTATCAGTAGATCAACAAGGATAAAAAAAAGTTTTGACTCTCCCATACGAAAAGTAAGACCAGCGAAATTATTACAGCACCAATCGTTTCATAGTATCACAGGTTCCATCACTGCCTTAAAATATAATATAAATACGTGATCGGCGCGTAGAATATTAAATCATACAATATATATGCTAATAAAAGTGTAGAATATAAAGATTCTGTACTCAAGAAGAAAAACCAAATTCACTTATAACTAATAGTAATAAAAACACTAAATTTTTTATTGGTTTTAATACTTTTAACTTAGATGAAATGAACTGCGTTTAAGTAAGGGTTTATCTTCTCGAAGTCTGTATAAAGCTGTTTAAAAAATATGCATGGTCTATATATAACTTTAGTTGTTATAGGATTATATAATAACGACATTCGAGTCGTATAATTCGGAATTCTGTATCGAATAATCTTGTATAGCAAACCTCACACACGCCTTTCGTTGGTATTAAAATTTTGAGTCTGAATAGGAAAATCCA